CACTTATAAAGACTCCAAATTCTGAAAATGAACCTATGTTTGAAAGATGGAAAATATCCCTAGTAGAAAAAAAGATGTTAATAGTCAACTGAAAGGAGGCATAATAGATTCAACCACATGTAATAGAATGAGCTCTATCAATATTTGATCTAATAGAATAATTAAGTTGTTTTAACAAATTAAGTTGGTTTTTAAACCATAGAAAAGAAAGCCCCATGCTGGAGATCCAAAAGTTTAAATTGTAAGATAAAATTGTTGAAATCCACCGTTCATTTGGGAAGTCGAGCATTCCCTTCTTAGCTTATCCACAATAGAACTTATCAAGTTAAATTCTCCCATTACAATCAAGATCTAGCACACAAAATTACAGATATTCATCCCAGAGAGTCTTCCTGTAATGAGAAGCATTGATAGCATTGACAGCATAGTGAGGAGAAACTTATTGGAATCAGGTAATTCAACCAAGCCAAGCCATGAATAAACTTAGTAATCATAAGAATTACACGAAAATGCATCAAGGAAAAGTCCCACTTAATCCAAATGGAATAATAGATCTGCAATGTTGAAGTGGTTAGTCTGTAGGTGAGGCATTAGTTTGAACTTGTTAAATCAGGGGACAGAGACAATGTTGAGGGCAAGGACCAAAGCTAAAGAGGAGAAATGTCGCGTTTGGCTCACACTCATGTATTTGTGAACATATGCTAATAAACAAAGGCATGTGTATGCTCGAATGCATGAGCGAGCATGCACACGCACATATATGCTTGCACTCATATCCATATGAACTCAAATGAAAATTATTACACCAAAGCATAATTATTTAGGCAAATTTCACAACACAAAACCAACATATTAAATTGACAGCTCTAACAAAAACAGTTCTTATTCCCCTCCAAAAAATAAAACTACCTTATCCGGACCTACACATAATTTCAATGAAGAATTCAAATTATATTAGAAAGTGATTCAGAAAAAAATGAAGAACTAATAAAAGCAATCTTCTTTTTATAAATCATATTCTCAACAATGAAAAATGGAAAAGGTTGGGATATCTATAAGTCTACAAACAGATCCTTCAAGTAAATAACTGCTTGAGCAAAAAAATTAAAAAAAATTAAAAAAAAGTAAATGACTGCTTAAGCAAACTTTATCAACAGGAATAACCAATTAGACAATAAATCTTTATAAGCTATTTTAAATCTGTTGAAATTTTAGCAAGTTTTTATTTATTTTTAGTCTTTCCCATTTTTAGAATTTATTATTTATTATTGTTGTAATTTCAGCTTCCTATTTTTAGCATGGAGATTTTATTGCTTTCCTAATGTGATAGTCTTCCTCCGCTATTTATTTGATAAAAGTTTCCTATGAAATTGAAGAGGGATTATTATTTTTTCTCTCCCAAAACCTACATGAGATCATATCAAGGAATGACTGTCGAAATCGTGAAACTCACGATTGAATCCCGTCAGCTTAGTTGGACATCGTGGTTGCCTCCTTCAGCTCCACTCTCGCCCCAAAAATATCCCCTATATTCCCCTTCCTATTGTCATGTGTGAAACCTTACGACAATCATGAATGTAGCTAGATGAAAAAGCAAACGAGATCACGGTGTACGAAGACCTACGAAACTCAAGTCTTTCTCCCATTTTCGGCTTCCCTTATACCTGAAACTATTGGTAAGATCATCTCTTTTGAGAGTTATGGACGTCGTGACACATATCATGATCTGAAACCCACATAGGCAAAACAGGTAGCTACTACATGCACTGCTCTCCTCAATTTTCAAGGATGTTGCTTAAGACAACGATGATAACCGGAGTCCAAAGAAATTCTACCACATCTATCGGTTCTAGTAACTCCGAAACCACTTCACCTCACCCTAAAGCTCATCCCATGATGTATCGACTGAATATTATCCCCTAACTTTACCACCTTATCTCACAATTATAAAACTTAATGGACACACTATCTCGAGTGAGCTCAATACATAAACTTGGCGTCTACAGAAGAGGCAAAATTGAGTATTTAATTGGAGCAAATTCAAAACTTGTCGGTAGCCACAATGATAACCTTTAGATTGAGAAAAGGAAAAAGAATCTCTTCCATTAGGCAATTTACAGTAACGAAGGACCACTAACTCTACGATTCAGCATAAACTATCAGAGGAAAAGCTAGGATCTTGAAGTAATGGTGAATTTACCAGATTTTAACGGACAAATGGATCCAAATGAGCTTAGTAAGAGGCTTCAAACAATGAAGAAAATTTAGTACAATGGAAATCCTCAGGACGAGTGTTAAATTGGCAGTCATTAAGCATAGAAAAAATATTTCATTGTGGTGGGAGAACATGAATCGTAGTCGATAGCGATAATGGAACAGTAAGATCATCATGTGGTCCAAGATGAAAAGAAGCACAGATACCTTCCCCCACCCTAGCTACATGACATGTTCATATAACTCAACCAGTGCTTGAAGTAAATTGCATAGCTGACTTTGATCAACTTATGTTGAAATGTAAGTCGGTAGAGCCAGAAGAGCACAAAGTTGTGAGGTATCTAGGAGGACTGAGGTTCTTTATTAGTAATGTAGTGCATCTGCAACCATATTGGTCTCTATTGAATATACAAAGCATAATTTTGAATGTACAGAAGAAGAACTTTACCTGTGACCGACACACCTTCTAAGTAGGGTTCAATACCAGGATCAGACAACAAAAGTGCAGCTAATGGAGCACCCAAATCGGCACCACCCAAGAAGAAGTCAATCCATAATGGAGAATAGATGCAGCTGCCATTATATCGAAACCCATCCCAATCAAGCAGTGCTTCAAGTGTCACAAGTTCGAGCACATTGTATTAGATCGCCCAAACAAGAGAATGATATCTTCCACCGATCAGGGTGTCACAAAGGCATAGGATGAAGACACCGAGGAGGAGATTGGAGAGGAGTAGCAGCTTGCAAACCAAAAAGGAAGAGATGCCAGTGATTCAAGTTGAGCACAAGAAAGAGAATCCAACAGGATTATCATTGGTTGTCCTAGAGGTAGTAGTTCGAGGAAATGGGCATTCATATAAAGTTTGAGGATGTGGTTTCACAAACTATCTTCTTGCCAGCATTAAGAAGAGCATCAATAGAACTGACAGTGGTTGCCCAAGAGGGCCCTAAATTTGAGGAGCCGACACCAAACACATGGCAACCCGAGAATTTCAAGATTTTCAAACATGCAGTCTATCTCAAAAATTGCCACTGTTGAGGGAGGTCAAATATGTCAGAGATGAGAAAATTTTGAGCTATTTCTAGAGGTCAATATGGGGTAACCTAGGTGTTACATTTCAAATTAGTTCAGCAATGTCTTTCAAAATATAAGGTTTGATAGTAGTAAGTTGCTGCCTCGGAAATCTCAAATGGGCTTTTATGGGCAGTAACATTCAACTATGAGATACAAGCTCTTCCAGAGAAGAAGCCTCTCGTAGCCATGGAAAAAGACGTGGGACGCTAGGACACAGGTTGCGAGATGTAGGATGCGAGGTGCGCACTCTTGGGGTCCGTTGTTTGTGGAACGAACGATTGCAAAGACAGGCCAAAGCAACTTTATTTTATTTCCATTTTGTTATATTTCCATTATTTTTTTAGCAAGTTTCATTATTTTGTTTCTTCTTTTTCATTTCTTACCTATTTTTCTAGTTTCAAATTAGGTATTTATTCTGAGGAGAATATATATATATATATATATATATATATATATATATATATATATATATATATATATATATATATATAT